CCCATGGGGGCCCCCCTGGTGTCTGCTGAGGCCCCTGAGGAGACAGCGAAGGGCCTCGAGGAGGGCCCACAGCATCTGCTCGCACAGCAGCAGCATAGCCACCAAAGAAGATGCAGGGGGGGCCCCCGGGGGGCCCCCCGGGGGGCCCCCATCATGCATTGCTTTGGGGGGCCCCCGGGGGCCCCCACAGAGTTCACACAGGAGGGGCCCCCCCTCCCCTTCTTTATGGGAGCTGCTGCTGTTGCTGCTGTTGCTGCTGCTGCTGCTGCTGCTTCTACACACCACCCCAAACGACTGAGGGGCCCCAGTGCAGCCGTCAACAGCAGTAGCAGCAGCAGGAGCTGCAGCAGCAGCAGCAGCAGGAACTGCAGCTGCAGCAGCAGCAGCAGCAGCAGCTTTTATGGCTACAGCTAGTCTTGCTGTTGACCTCAGTAGAGGCCGCAGCAGCGGCAGAGCGACATGGGGTGGGGGGGCCCCCAAACGGGGGGCCCCCAGGGGGCCCCCCCGGGGGGCCCCCAGGGGGACCCCCATCTCCCACGAGAGATGAAAGCCTGCAGCAGCAGCAGCTGCTGCTGTCTGCCCCCAAAACAAAGGGCAGCAGGCGCAGCCCCTTGCTGCTGCTGCTTCTGCTGCAGCAACGAGATGTCTAATCTCAACAGAGGGGCCCCCAGGGCCCCTATGGGGATCCGTAGAGGGGCCCCTGGGGGCCCCCAGGGGCCCCCCTAAAGGGTTGCTTTCTCCTTCATGCTGGCGTCTCCCCATGGGGCCCCCATGGTTGGGGGCCCCCGGCGCCCCCGGGGGCCCCGGGGGCCCCGGGGCCCCTGGGGGCCCCCGAGCAGGGGGGCCCCCTGAAGATGTGCCTATGGGGGCCCCCCATGAAATATGAGAAATATGAGAGCGCCTAGAAACCCATATATAACTAAACCCATCAAAAGAAGCTGCTACCAGGGGGGCCCCCAGGGGGGCCCCCCTGTTTGGGGGCCCCTTGGGGGCCCCTCTGGTGGGGGCCCCCCGTGGGGCCCCACCGCCGTGGGCCCCCCCAGGGACCTCATTGGTAGGGGGCCCCCTAGGGGCCCCCTCTGTGCCCCCTCTGCTGCGGGGGGCCCCCAAGGGGGCCCCCCTGAGGGTGTGGAGGCCACTACGGACGGCTGTAGAGCGGAACGAGGAGAGCATGGGGGCCCCTAAGCTGCTTGCATGCAGACGGGGGCCCCCATTACCTTTTGGGGGCCCCCTGAAACCTTTGGGGGGCCCCCAAGGGTACAGAGAATGCCGTAGAGAGGGGTGGGGGGCCCCCGCTTCTTCTGGGGGCCCCCAGCACCAAAATAGAATTAAAATATAATAATTAAATGAAAAAAAATTAGTATAAAAGAATAAGATAAAATAAATTAGGGTTTAGGGTTTAGGGTTTAGGGGTTTGCTTAAACCCTCCTGGGGGCCCCCCAAGGCACCGCGGGGCCCCCCAGCAGCAACGAGCAGCAGGGGCCCCCACAGGAGATGTTTACTTTCATTTGTTTTGTGTAAAATATCTGTGTTTAATGTTTATTATATATTGTTTAGGGTTTAGGGTTTAGGGTTTAGGGTTTAGAGCTCATACACCGCTCCTTTCTTTTTTCTCTGTCTCTAGGGGGGCCCCTGAATGAGGGGGGCCCCCACTGCATCTGCGTATATGTAAACCCTTTATCTTTCTCTTTGTCTTAGTTTTTGTTTGTGTATTTGTTTTTATTTTTTTTTATATAAACAAAATAAAAACTACAAAAGGGGCCCCTGAGTAGCTGCAGCAGCTGGGGGGAGATCTAGCTGCACCGCCCCACACACAACAGCTGCTGCTGCTGCTGCTGCTGCTGCTGCTGCTGCTGCAGTTGCTGCTGCTGCAGTTGCTGCTGCAGTTGCTGCTATAAACCCTCGGGTGTATGGGCTTTTGGCGGTGTCTGCGTTCTTCTTCTTTTTACAAGCCCAAGGGTTTAGGGTTTAGGGTTTAGGGTTTAGGGTTTGTTGCAGCTTATTCATGGCCCATAGAAAACGAGGAGTGGGGGCCCCCCTGGGGCCCCCCCTAACGTTTTCTTTGGGTGGTGGTATGTGTTCATTGGTGGGGTTGTTGCTGCACCTGCAGCACCTGCTGCTGCTGCTGCTGCTGCTGCTGCTGCTGCAGCCTGCATCTCCTGTTGATGCTATCTCTCTCCTCCCTCCTTCTATACAAAAACCCAAATGCAGCAACATTCTTCTTTCTTCTCTCCGTGGGGGCCCCCCATGATGCAGATGTTGCTGCGGTGTATGTACACCCGAAACGGTCTCGGTTGCTGCAGCT